TTTTAGGATTCATTTTACTAGGTAGCTAGAGTTCACCGATCACCTACCTATCCTTTCTTTTTTTATAAAGTAGTAAAGGACGAAAATAGTTCATAGGTTGTGACTAGTTTTTTACAATGAACTATCAACTTCACCTACCTGGAATGGAAACGACCGTTGTCGGAGTCGGACAGCGTTGTTACAAGCAAAATTTCAATTGTACTTTATCTAATATGATAATTGTACTATTTTTGACCAAATTGTACATTTCTTAGGTTTCAAATCTTATATACACTTTGTTTCACGAGGGTTTATACTTTTGACATAATTTGCCTTCTTTGTCATGTTAAAAGTATACCTACCTAAGCCTTCGTGAAACGAACTTTACTTTCCTGCTTTAATTTTTATTATTTTAATGTGAACGGAGATGGCCGATGGGCTCGGTACTAAATTAATAGTTATAAATTTAGTGCTAATTATCAATTTTTGAAAGATAGTAATTTTCTTGGAGTCTAAAATCAATGAACGGTTCGGCTGTTACCCTCTGAGTACTCCCGAGCTACTTTGGAGTACTCTGGCTACAGTTTGGCTCGTTCGACTTAAAAGAAATTGGCGCTCTCGAGCTGCTCTTATTTCCTCGTCTTCTACCCTCGAAGTATCTACCATTTGATGGTTGCGTCACGCTCCGGGCAAAACGCATGTTGAGTATAACGGGTGTGAAGTGTTCTAGGAGCTTCGCACTTTGCACCCGAAAGCGGATATGGTTGGTGCTTCGGGACGGGGACGAGGAAAATAAGAACAGCTCCGGAGCGCGAAATCTGCCCAAACAAACGGGCCGAAGGGCGGACGAAGTACTTCGGAGTAACTCAGGAGTGCTCAAAATATGGCACCCGAAAGCGGCTCTATTAACTTTACTATTATGAAGCTGGTACGTTTAAAAATATAAGTTTTATATTTTTTTGATTGAGATATTTATTAGTAAAGGAATAGTTATTAATTTCTGAACGAATATAATAAGATTGTAAATTTTTCCATCTGATTGTACCACTGTACTCTTAAAGTCTTCAATGTACTCCTTTTGGTACAATTGTACCCTCTGTAACATCGCTGGAGTCGGACATGGCATTTGTCATCTCTCTCAGTGCCTCCAAAGATAGCTATATAGTGGAGCAGGGCTGTAGCCAGGGGGGGGGGCATTGCCCTATCTTTCAAATGATGATGCCCTACCTTTAAAACACAACATACGTTGAAGTTTATCTAGAAAATTTAAGTTAAGATGAAAGCACTGTTTCAACCGACATGAGAACCGTTTTAGAACGGTAATTTTCAGTCGATCAATTCATTTGCCAAGGAGGATAAACGTTCAACTTATTGAAAATTAGGTGGGCAATTGGAAATTACTAGTTCTGGAACGGTTCCTATGTCCATTGGACCACAGCTAATGAATGGACCTGAAATCGAATGAGTTGGTAGGCATATAGTTATTTTACAAGTAGTACAAGTACAAGAGGTCCCTCAAACATTATTGCCTGAACGCGCCATTTTGTTTATTCGCCAGAAATGTTATTTGATGTTGTTTATTGAAAAATTTGCCTTCGGTGCCATTACCCCCATTTTGTTTACCTATAAAAAATTTAAGGGCGGGGGGAAGTAGTGCATGCCCTATGTCAAATTCTTCATGCCCTACCACAAATTTGACTCTAGCCTGGAGGATACTTATCTCTGTCTAGTTCATTGACATTGGTGTTAGGTTTGATGTATATTCCTAACATCAAATACCTATAATATTTTTTAGACAAGGAAACATTTTCATAATTGGCCCATTAGGTAAATAGAAATAGGTATCCCCCACATTCTCCATCTTGATTTGCCTCATTTTATAGATAGGCTGGGCGGGCCATTTCAGGTACGTGAAGTTTATAGGTAATTGATTTTTTATCAGCCATATTCTGGAATGGTTTACTAATGAGAAATTCGGCATCCTCGCATGTTTGGAAAAGTGACGTCCCTTTCCTATCCCGCGTTTTCGCAGCAGTTTAAAAATTAGATTTTTTTTTTTGGAAAAAAAGTATACAAATGTAGACTAACAGTTTTTCCCGCTGGCGCAAACAGCTGATGTCGGCAATGGTGATACACCAATATGAGGGCGATTCCAGGATAATACACACTGCTACTACAAGATAGCTCATCCTCATAAGGCCTATGTAGAATAAATCTCCCCCTTCCCTCCCCAAGCCAAATCACCAGTTGTGATGTAAACAGCATGCTAGTTAGTTCTCGCTTTGATGTAGGCTGTTTAAGCAGCTGACGACTTAATTATGACGTCGGCAATGGTGGCACACTAATATGGTGGCGATTATCAAAAACGAATCCGATAAGCATTCCTTAAGCCTAGTACTCATAATTGCGAAATTCGCATTTTTTGACGTTGCTTCGACAATTTGACATTTGATACACGCATAAAACGTCAAATCAAACGCAATGTCAAAAAAATGCGAATTTCGCAGTTATGAGTACTAGGCTTTAGACTTTTAGAGTGTGTATTCTCCTTGCTCTACAGTGACGACAATGGAGGTCCCGTCGCCATATTTTTGCTAATTTTGGATATTTCATTGGTGAATATAGAAGTAAACCAGGCCCCCGCCGCCATATTCTTGCCAATTTTCAATATGAGCATATAGAATTTCAAAAATAGGACAACAATTGTCAGCACTGTAGCTATATGACAGTTTCCACTTACCATGAGAATATTTCCTATGAAAAATGGCATTTTATTTATTCCTCATATTACAAGCAACATTTTCCGCACTGAAATCTATCGAAAATCATGAAATATTCGAGAAAAACGAATGACGGTCAAAAAAACACAATTTTAAAATGGCCGTTCAAGGCCTGCTTTGATGTTTTTGAAACGTGAAGTTAGCTAATGAATAATTTTTACTTTACTTGATGAAAAATTAAATTTTCTCGTAAAAATTAAATTCTTTGCACCTTGCACCCCAATAAAACGCAATAGAAGTAATCCAACGACCTGTCAAAACATCAATTCAATATGGCGGCAACGGTCAAACATCTGCGATGTTTATTTGTGTGTAGAAATATCATAAACCAATGTGGCGGTTATAGTCAAACAATGGAATTGGCGCCAAAAATATCGTTTACCTTCAGACAACCGTATTATCGTAAAACTGTTTTTTTTGTGTAATTTGTGGATTTTTTGAGGGGATTTTCTATTGCTTGAAAAGGATATGCTGCTACGTCACAGTTGGTGATTTTGCATGGTGAGGGGTTTCATATTTGTTCCACACAAGTCTTATGAAGATAGGCTATGCTGTAGTAGTAGTAGTGTGTATTATCCTTGGTTGTATGGTTTTATTCCGAAATGGCCGTCCAAATTTTACTTTGATGTTTTCGGAACGTGAAGTTAGCTAACGGAAACTTTTACATTTTGATGAAAAATCAGATTTTCTTCAAAAATTACCAAAAATTCAATTCCTTGTACCACAAAAAAAAATTATTTTTCGTTTAAACCTACCAAAATGTAATAGGGCAATCCAACGACTTGCCAAAACACAAATTCAATATGGCGGCAACGGTCAAACATCTGTGTTTTTGTTTTTGTGTTTACGAAACTACAAAAATTATCCTTCTTAAGCAATAGACCAGTGAAATCCTTCATTGTTTGACCATGGCCGCCATACTGATTGGATTGTCCAACTTTGAAATGGCCGCTCGGAAAGCCTTCTTTGATTATTTTTGAAACGTAAGTTAGTTATTTTTTATGAAAAACTAGCTGACCCGGCGAATTTCGTACCGCCTCTGAATTATTAAATACCTATTAAATTTTCACTCTATCTGCACTGCATAAACTGCACTACTCCATCTGTTTTACTCTAGATGCACTATTCTATCTGATCTACTCTTTCTACGCCACTCTATCTGATCGGAATAGTGAAATAGTTCTGTTCGGGGAATAGCTCCAATTCCTGAGCAGCATTGTTCTACTGTATCTGCAATGAAATTACCGCGCAACGGCGAGCTTTGTTCTAGGTATCAGAGATGGCGCCGTATACAAAATGGTTTGCAATGAAAATGTGGCGGTAAACTTGGTATCGGTTATAAGAGATGGCGCCGTATGCGGGCTTAGTGAATTTTTTTCATAAATAAGTAATTTTGTTTTTTGTTTTTTTTTGGATTTTTTCGATTTATTATGTTATTCAGTACAAAGACAAATCCAATAAAGCAAAAATCATAAAAATCAGTCCAGCCGTTCTCAAGTTATAAGTGTTAGAACCAACCCAACTGTGTTTTATATATATAGAAATTATGAAACTAATCTTTACATTTTTTGTTTTAGTGATTGTTTGACTAGAGCCCTCGACCACCGATTGACTTGTCCTTTATGCGTCCGCAAATTGTCGGTGGGCGATTATTTTCGAGGTACCAACAAAGTTATAGACGAAGCAGTACGACTTTTATGCCCAAATGAAGCCAACAGAAACTTGCAAATTTATTTCAACAACTTTTCAGTTGGAAGTAGTATCGAGGTAAGATTACCATGTTGTATAGGATTTTTACGCTATATTTAGGATTAGGATGACGTCACATTTAGTAAATTTCTGCTGCCAACCTAACAAAACTGAAAGTACTTTATAACGCATTCAAACTAGGGGAATTTCAAATGTTTTTTGTTGGCAACGGAGCGCGACGTTGCATGACTTGTATAAACATTTTTATTTCGTTATTTTTAGCTGTCGTTAAAATTATTGACACTTAACATTTTGGTAAATTATAGGAAAAAAAAATATGCATTGACAACATTGTCTGTCCTTGTTCGATGACGTCATCCTAAATATAACATAAAACATATTATATTCAAATACATAATATAATTCCGTTTCAAAATAAAGGTTCCAGTATTTGTATGTACCAATGCATTCCCGTACGTCGCCTGTCCGCTCTACGTCTACGAACCCCAGTACCGGCTTTTGGTGCGACGTTGTCTACAGAACCCCGTCAAGATGTTTGCCATGCTCAGCATGGACCCGGACGGTACTAAATTCGTGCAGTACGGTACCATGTTGGAGGTGAAAGATGCCGTTATCCTTCAAAACGGCAGAATTATTTTGTCCACTCAAGGTAACTTACTAGTTATTGAAAAACTGATTATTAATTAATAGTACTATCGATAGTGTACTGTCGAAATTTCTAAAAATTATAAAAATTCACAAGAAATCATAGAAATTTATGGAAATCAAAAATCATAAAAATTTAAGAAAATTACAGAAGATTACAAAAATTCGAAAAAACCATAGAAATTAAGAAAATCAGAAAAATTACAAAAATCACGAAAATCATGAAAATTTGCAAAAATCATGAAAATTTCGAAAAATCATAAAAATACACTAGTGCGTAAAGTAATTCACTTCACACGCTAGTGCGTAAAGTAATGTTAATGACAGCTGTCGACATTGTCAATTTGGCATTTTTCTGGTGAATTACTTCACGCACTAGTGCCTTTTGGCTCAGAATTTTTTTTTGAATTATTTTGCCAGATTTTTTTTTTTTACTCGGAAAATATTTTTTTGGCTCAAGTATTTATTGATTTTTTGACTCAGAAATTTTGATTGAATTATCTGAAAAATTTATTTTTTGAAACTTTTTTCTTACAAAAATTATGAAAATGTCCAAAAAATCATAGAAATTTCCAAAAGCATGAAAATTTCAAAAATCATAGATATTAACAAAAATCATGAAAATTTCCAAAAATCATCATTTAAACTCAGAATTTATGATTTTCGTGATTTTTGAAATTTTCCTGATTTTTTTAATTTCTATGATTTTTTCGAATTTTTATAAGTTTCTGATTTTTTTGTGATTTTCATAAATTTTTATGATTTTCTGAATTTTAATAATTTCATTGATTTTCGTAATTTTTTGTAACTTCGAATTTCCATATTTTTTTTAATTGTTTGCAATTTTCATAAATTTTTATGATTTTTGTGATTATGAATTCTGATTTTTTTTATTTTTTATGATTTTTGTGATTTTCTAAATTTTTTTGATTTACTTAAACTTTCATAATTTTCATTAATTTTTCTTAATTTCTATGACTTTCTTAAATGTTTATGATCTTTCGTAATTTTCGTAAGTTTTTCTGATATATGTAAATACATATTCATGAATTTTGTAATTTAAAAAATTACAAAAATCATAAAAATTTAAGAAAATACAAAAAATTACATAATTCGAAAAAATCATGGAAAATAGGAATTCAGAATCATGAAAATCATAAAAATTACGAAATTTTCCAGAAATCACAAAATTTATAAAAATTTCCGAAAATCACAAAAATAATTAAGATTTACAAAAATCATAAAAATTTATAAAAATCATAAAAAGTTGGAAAAACATGAAAATCATAAAAATTACGAAATTTTCCAAAAATCACAAATATGAAAATGATAAAAATCACAAAATTTATAAAAATTTACGAAAATCACAAAAATCATAAAAAATTACAAAAATCATAAAAATTTAAAAAAATCGTAAATATTTGGAAAATCGTAAAAATTTCAAAAATCGTAAAAATTTCAAAAAATCACAAAAATTATGAAATTTTTCAAAAATCGTAAAAATTTCAAAAATCACAAAAATTATAAAATTTTTCAAAAATCATGAAAATTGTGAAAATTTGGAAAATAGTAATTTTTTGGCATTTTTTGTTTTATGTTTGGAATTCTTCGGAATTTTTTGAAATTTGGAATTTTTTGGGATATATGAAATTTGGTGTTTTTTGGCATTTTTAGAAAATTTTCAAATTTTTTTGGAATTTCGTGTTTTAGAATTTTTTTTTTTAATTTTTCGAAATTTGGAATTTTTCGGAATTTATTGAAATTTGATATTTTTTGAAATTTGGTGTTTTTTGAAATTTTCTGGTATTTTTTGAAATTTTTCGGAATTTCTTGAAATTTAGTGTTTTTTGGAATTTGGTATTTTCCGGAATTTTTTGGAAATTGCTGTTTTTAAGAATTTTTTGAAATTTTCCGGAATTTCTTGGAATTTTGGAATTGTTTGAAATTGGTTTTTTTAGAATTTTTCGGAATTATGTGATGTTCGTAAATTTTTTATGAATTTTGATTTTTTTATGATTTTTGTGATTTTTTTTATTTTTTTGTAACTTTCGAATTTTCATGATCTTTTTGAATTTTTGTGATTTTTCGTTATTTTCATTAATTTTTATGATTTTGAGTTTTCGTAATTTTCGATTTTCGTAAATTTTAATGATTTATGTAAATATTCATGATTTTTGTAATTTTCATACATTTTTATGATTTTTTGTGTTTTTCATGGTTTTTTAAATTTCTATGGTTTTTTTGAAATTTTCATAAATTTTTATATTCTTTGTCATTTTTATGACTTTTATCACGAAAAACACAAAAATGAAAGTTTGTGAAAATGAGAAAAAATCAAAAAAACTATAAAAATTCAGAAAATCACAAAGTTTTACGAAAACCACAAAAAAATAAGATCATAAAAATTTAAAAAAATCAATAACATCATAGAAATTCAGAAAATCATAAAAGTTTATGAAAATCAAAATTTAATGAAAATCATACAAATTCAAAAAATCATAAAAAACTACAAAAGTGTACGAAAAAACACGAAAAATTATAAAAATTTATTAAAATCATATAAATCATAAAGTTTCCGAAAATCATAGAAATTCACAAAAAATCATAGATATGTATTATAAAATTCAAAAATCGTGAAAATTTACAAAGATCATGAAAATTTAAGAATATTACAAAAGATTACAAAAAATCATAAAAATCATGATGATTTCAAAAATCATAAAAATTCACAAAAATCCTGAAAATTTCCAAAAATCATAAAAATTCACAATTATAGAAATTTATAAAACTCAAACATCATGAAAATTCACAAAGATTATACAAATTTAAGAAAATTACGAAAAATTAAAAAAAATTGAATCCATAGAAATTAAGAAAATCAGAAAAATTACAAAAATCACGAAAATCATAAAAATTTACAAAAATCATGAATTACAATGATTCAAAAAAATCATGGAAATTAGGAAAAATTAGGAAAATATCAAAAATAACGAGAATTATAAAAATTTACAAAAATAACAAAATTCATGAAAATTCCAAAAATTATAAAAATTCACAAAAATCACAAAAAATGAAAATTTTGAAAAATCATGAAAATTCACAAAAAAACACACATTTATGAAAATCAAAAATCATGAAAATCTACGAAAATCATAAAAATTTAAAATAATTACAAAAGATTACAAAAACTCGAAAGAATCATAGAAATTAAGAAAATCAGAAAAATTACAAAAACCATGAAAATCATAAACATGTACAAAAATCATAAAAATCATGAAAATTTCAAAAATTATAAAAATTTTAAGAAAATTACAAAAGATTACAGAAATTCGAAAAAATCATAGAAATTAAGAAAATTAGGAAAAATACAAGAATCAGCCAAAATCATAAAAATTTAAAAAATCACATAAATTATGAAAATTTCCAAGAATCATAAAAATTCACAAAAAAGTATAGAAATTTATGAAAATCAAGTCATGAAAATTTAAAAAAATCATAAAAATTTAAGAAAAATACAAAACAGTAATTCTAAAAAGTCATGGAAATTAAGGAAATCAGGACAATTACAAAAATCACGAAAATCATTAAAATTTACAAAAATCACAGAAATCATGAAAATTTCAAAAATCATAAAAATTCACAAAAATATTGAAAATTTTCAAAAATCATAAAAATTCACAAAAAATCATAGGAAGTGAATCTACAGTAAAAAGTGATTAAAATTCCCTATCAAAAATTAATAAAATTCGTGGTCAAAAATGAGTAAAATTCTCCTGTGAAAAATTCCCGGTTAAAATTGAAAATGAGTAAAATTATTCCGAGAAAAATAATTTGCGTCAAAAATGAGTAAAAATCGAGTGAAATTTGCAGTCAATAATGAGTGAGTCTACAGTAAAAAAATTCCCGGTAAAAATTGAGTAAAATCCTTTCATCGAAAAAAAATCTCTGTCAAAAATTAGTGAAAACTGAATAAAATTTCATGTCAAAAATTAATAAAATTCGTGATCAAAAATTGATAAAATTCGTGATTAAAAATGAGTAAAATTCGAGGTCAAAAAACGAGTAAAATTCTTTGTTGAAATATGAGTAAAATTCCTGGTGAAAATTCAGTAAAATTCTCCTATGGGAAATGCTTAAAACTAGTAAAAAGTGAATAAGATTTTCGGTCAACAATGAGTCAAGTACTTCGGTAAAATGAGTAAAATTCCCGGTCAAAATTCAAAATAAGTAAAATTCTTCAGAGAATAATCTCTGTCAAAAATGAGTAAAAATTACGTAAAATTCGCAGTCAATAATGAATAAGTCTACAGTAAAAAGATTTCCGAGAAAAAATGCTTTTATGGAAAAAAAAATCTTTTGTCAAAAATCACGAAAATCATAAAAATTTACAAAAATCACAAAAATTATGAAAATATTAAAAATCATAAAAATTCACAAAAATCATTGAAATTTCCAAAAATCATAAAAATTCACAAAATTCATGGAAATTAAGAAAATCAGGAAAATTGGGAAGTTACAAAAGTTACGAAAATCATAAAAATTTACAAAAATCACAAAAATCAGGAAAATTTCAAAAATCATAAAAATTCACAAAAATTACAAAAATCATGAAAATTTCCAAAAATCATAAAAATTCACAAAAAATTATAAATATTTTCAAAAATCATGAAGATTCACAAAAAATCACAAAAAGTGGGTCTACAGTAAAAAGTGATAAAATTCCTGGTCAAAAATTAATAAAATACGTGGTCAAAAATGAGTAAAATTTGAGGTCAAAAATGAATGAAATTCTTCGGTAAAATATGAGTAAAATTCTTCGGTAAAACATGAGTAAAATTCCCTGTCAAAATTCAGTAAAATTCTCCTGTGAAAAATTCCTTTGAAATAAAGGACGGTTGGCAACCCTACATGTAGTAACACAAAAAACCACAAAAGTTTACGAAAAACAATAAATCACAAAAATTTTAAAAATTACAAAAATTTACAAAAAACATAAAAATGCACAAAAATCATAAAAAAGTCACAAAAATCATAGAAGTGATGAAAATCATAAAATTTTAGGAAAATCACAAGAATCATGAAAATTCGTGAACATTTATAAAATTAAGAAAAATTCTCAAAATTTAATAAATGTTAAAAAATTTCAAAAAATTGAAAAAAAAAATCACAAGATTGAAAAAAATTTGCAAAATTAAAAAAGATTTCTGAAAATTAAAAAAAATCACAAAGTTTACAAAATTGAAAAAAAATCACAAAAATATGTAAAATTGAGAAAAATTCAAAAATCTTGCAAAATTTATAAAATTCATAAAATTCAAAAGTTACAAAATTAAGAAAAATTCACAAAAATTGCAAAATGCCCAAAATTTATAAAATCCACAAAATTACAAAAAATTCATAATACAATGTTGCCAATACAATGGTACCAATACCAACTTTTCAAAACAAATAATTTCCATTTCCAGGCGTAAGCAGATTCAAAGTGATAAGCAGCGACGAAAAAGACGGGTACGACACGGCCAAAGTCGAACTCGTCCACGACGTTGTACCGGATCCGGAACACATCGGAAACCTAATCGAGCTGCACCGAAAAGTCCACTCCAGAGCAGTGCACTGGATCAGCATTTTGACTCCGGCCGCTTTATCAGAAGTTGAAAGGCTAATAGGCCCGATGCCTGATGTGGAAGATGATTGGATTCATCTTCCTGATGGACCCAAGTGGACTTGGTGGTTGATACCTATTTTACCTATAAGCTCACAGTTGCAGGTAATAATTGACATATCTATTCACAATCTGTAGTCCAAAGGTAGAGGTGAAATTTATCACCTTTCAATGCTATTTGATAGGGAAAGGTGATAAATTTACCTGTACCTTTGGACTATAGGATATATGATTATTTTCTGGTGAATTTTCATTATTTTTGTTTTGCTCCAGGTGGGTTTTTTGTGCAGCACATTTCTGGAAAAACGACTCAGAGCGATCGACAAGATGCTGGACCACATGAGGATAAGGATGGAAGGTGTGCCAAAAGATGATGAAACTGTTTCTTATGATATCAACAATGAAGTATTTTGCAGCGATTAGTTGCATTAAGTTTTTTTTTTTATAATTTTTTGATGTTTTTAATTTATTTTTCTAATATAATTGATATTAAATTATTGCATGTTGTTTTATTCTCTCATAATTGTAGGGCACGGACACTCTGTCGGCTGTCAGTGGCATTTTGGCGGGAAAAATAAATGTCAAGTGTTAGATAGATAGAGACATAAGGCAATTTTTCGTGAGGATAACCAAGTATACTCTTATGTGACGTGTCATTTATGTCATACTCCCCTAACTTCCTTACCATCAAATTCTGAGAGAACACTCAATTTTTTCTATAAAAACAGACCAGTTATTACCTTTTCTACATCTAAAATCGACAAAAAAATTAACTCATTAGCACAGCACAACCTGAATCGCAAGCATTCCATCGAGGTCTGCGGATGACGTCATCACGATAAGCTGCTGATAGTAACGTCACTCGCAGGACCAGAATTTGATCGAGAGGGAGTTGGGGGAGTATGACACAATTGATACATCATGTAACCCAGTATGTGTTTGGTTAATGTTATGGATACCCTTAACCCAGGGTTGCCAGATTTTCATTTTGAAAAATCGGGATAGCAGAAATGTCGCCAAAAAAAAACAATAAAGGTAAGGAACACGGCCTAAAATGTTTGAAAGTAGGCAACCCACAGTTTCTTTAGCCGTTCGGTGTTGATCAAAGGGAAACAAAGCCTAGAAGGGTGTTGTCAGCTGGGGGATGAAATCGGGATATACAGGGTGAGTCTGAAATAAGTTCAGATTTGTTATGATAAAGTATAGTAGGACAATCACTTTTTGTATGGGAGGGAACATGTGTCCGCAAACCTCTCGTTAAGAAAATACAGTGTTGAAATTTTTGGAAAATTTTGACTTTTTGCCTTTAGATTCAAAATGCCTTGAGCGATTTTGTTCAAATTTTCACAAAGTTTTTGCGATATAATATGACATAAATTCTTTAAACTTCAATGTTGTTTAGTTTCTGGTGTCATGTGAACAGAGTGGAGTACCTATATCGAAAAACGATATTTGATTTTTATTTTTTATCTTTTAAACGTCATATCAAACAAGAAAAACTCTAGATACCTCTTTTGTTCAAAATTAAACAAGGAATCAAAAAATAATTTTTAAATTAACAAAAAATCCAGAGGCGTACCACTATTTTCTTTTAAAAGAAAAAGAGTCACTCTAGGTCCGGTCCTGGAAAAGTGGAAATCAAATGGATTTTTTAGAAAGATGCTGAAGAACATTGCAAAAACTCTCGAAACTTGAACAAAATGGCTCAAGGCATTTTAAATCTAAAGACAAAAAGTCAAAATTTTCCGAAAATTTCAACACTCTGTATTTTGTTAACAAGACGTTTGCGGACACATGTACTATGTACCATGCAAAAAGTGATTGATCTACTGTACCTACTCTGTTTAACAAAACAAAATGCGCACTTATTTCGGACTCGACCTGTATTTTCTTACATTTTCAAAAATCGAGACATTTGGCATTCAATTGGTTCGGAAATATTTCTAAAAATCGGGACTTTCCCGCCTAAATCGAGTGGTCTGGCAACCCTGGCTGTAGTATCAGAGTAGATTTAAACCTCATGAAGTTGACCACAAGTGGTCACATCAAATTAAAACTTCCAGAAAAGGCATTTTAAATGAGATTTTGTTAATTATGATATTTAGCCTGAAATCACAGAAGCTCTGCAACACCAAGATACAAATGCAGGACCTGCAAGTCTGAATTTTCGTATTACAGAAGCAGAATGCATTTGCAGGTCGCCTGCAAATTTGCGCATGGTGAAACGGTCCTGCAAGTCCTTGCAATCACTTTGACAACTTTGACATTTAAAACTGGTAAATCAGTAGCGCCCAAACACTTTTTCCCGATAAATATGACAAAATTGCAGATTTTTTCTGTAATTTGCTCGTTTCTGCAAATAGCGCACATATGCAAGTCGGCCATATTTGCAGAACTGCAAGTTTGCAGATGCAAATATACTGTAATTTGGCCCTTAAAACTAGTACTTTAGATCAGTTTTCCCGCTCGAAAACGGCCTAGAAAAGCGGAAAATCCAAAGAAAAACCAGTACTTGATAAAACTTGAGTTTTCGTTACTTACCCACTTGGAAACAAACTGGAAATTTTTAGCAAAGAATAGAAGAAATTCAAAGCCTCGTATTTTAAATAAGTTTTTTCGAATCCCGACTAAAAACGGCCTGGAAAAACGGAAAATTTGAGGAAAAACTGAATAAAATGTAAACACGTCAATTAAACATGGCCAACTGTCAAAAGAAAAAGTGGCAAATGACAGTTCATTACAAGGCCTACTTGATTAAAAGCGACATTGCCACATTTCAAATAGGAAAAAAAAAATAGATTTCAAATGGTTTTTTGTTTTAAATTTAGTTTAATTATCGATTAATAATGTTTATGAAATGATAAGTTCCCAAAATAATGCAATGGAAACTTATTTTTAACAAAATTTAATAAAAATGACATTCCAAGGCCTGTTTGAAAATGAGTAAGACAGAGAGAGGGAGATAAAGTAGGACATAATTATTTAGGTCTAAACGCACAGTAGATTCCAAACCTCGTGAAGTTGGCTACAAAGTGGCATTGCCACATCAAAACTTCTAGAAAAAACATTTCAAATGGGATTTTGCTAATTAAATTAGGTATGGCATGGAAAACGGCCTGGAAAAGCGGAAAATCCAAAGAAAAGCCAGCCAAAATAACACATTCCAAAGCCTACTTGATGAAAACTTGAGTTTTCGTTACTTACTACTTACCCCCTTGGAAAACTAGACATTTTTGGCAGAAAATGTAGGAAATTTAAAGCCTCGTATTTTAAACCTATTTTCAGGACTGAAAACGGCCTGGAAAAGCGGAAAATTCAAGAAAAAATTGGATAAAAATGTGAACACGTCAATTAAAAAATGGCCGACTGTCAATAAAGAAAAGTGGCAAATGACATTTTATTACACAAGGCCTACTTGCCTTCAGGGATGCTATTTCTAGTACAATTGTACTAGATCTAGCACAATCACGTTTCACCTAGTACGCTAGTACCTCTCTCATAAATCTAGTACAATTTGGAATACAAGTCGAATGTCGCTCTTCGCTCTATACGGAACCCGAGTTCTGCACTCCACTCTCTACTTGTGGGTTGGGGTTCGGTTCACGTTCTGGTCCCATTACGGTGCACGGTGCGGCTAAAGCCAAACAAAAAACTGGCGTTTCGAATATGAGGCAATTTTTGCGAAAATATTCAAACCTAATCTGATTTTGCTAAGTAATGTGATGCGTCAATTGTGTCATACTTCCCTAACTCCCTTTCCATCAAATTCTGGGCCTGCGAAAGACATCACTATCAGCAGAAATTAGCAATGACGTCACCAGCAGACCTCGATCGATTGCTTGCGATTCAGGTTATGCTAGTGGAGTTAATTTTTTCGTCGATTTTAAATGTAGAAAAAGTGAACAGACCAAAACTGTTCTCACAGAACAAATTAGTGTTGTTGATCCTCGAGTATCCCAGAATTTAGGGAGTTTTTTATTCTGTGACTTGACGTGTGTCATGAATCAATGGTTATTCGATTATTCAGCGGATCATGGTAATCGGTAGTCGATTTATAACTAAATATGTAGAAATTTATTTATTTCCATTTTTCAGGGCCGGTTTCCAAATAGCGAGTCACCCCCAGGGTTAAGGATAACTCTAGGTAAACACTGCAACTAGACACGTTTACCCTGGAGTTAAAACCAACCCGCAGGTGACTTGCTATTGAGAAACTAGAGGTGAGTTGCGATTAGAGATGGGTTGTTATTTAACTATCTGTTATTTTTAAGCTGTTATTTAGAAATAACGGTTGCAACTGTTGTTTCAGTTCAAAAATAACAGGTGAAAAATAACGTTCAAATAGAAAAAGGTTTATCCACTAGGTGTTAAAATAACACCTTTTAAACTTAACACTAATTGTCGTTGTCCTTGTTACAGATGTTAAGCGTTATTTTTATAAATATTCGTTCATGACACTTGGCAAACGCAACTCGGCTCGGCTCGGTTCTCTTCGCTGTCGGCGAGGGTTGAGCAGCTGGAACGCTGGAACAGTCTGTCTTTATCTATTTTTAAGGGCGTTTAAGAGAGAACGTGGATAAAATTTTCTTTTTTCTCGTTAACGGCTGCGCTGCACTGCTCTATTTTCAATTATGGACAAAATACAGAATAATAATCACAATAATACACAGGCACGTGCGTTCTCTGATCACACTCCCCACTTCCTCACGCTTTAGCCGTTGCCGCCTACTTCTGGCACTGCTTGAATTAAGTTCGAAATACGTCATAACCGATCGATAATCGTTTAACTGCGACCCTACCACGAGAAGTTAAAAATAATGACAACCTGTTATTTTAAGCTGTTATTTAAAATTAACAGTAACAGTTGTAACTGTTATTTGAAAATAACGGTTTTTCCCATCTCTAGTTGCGATTTTACGAACTGTGACTTTGTTACTGCTACTCGTCTGTCACAGTCACGGCCTGCTCCGGTCCCACTCAAGTAGCAGTGACATTTTGTCACGGCCACTTCGATCTCTAACCGATACAGTGCAGACTAAACTCAACTTAAAGTGATGCAAATAATGAAATATTATTATACATCATATTGCGGTGACGCAAAACAGAAACTGCCACTGCAGAGGGCAGACTGGAAGATTTTTCTCGGCCGTGACTGTGAACTGAGCGAACTGCGATTATGTAATGTACCATGTATTACCAGCACGGCCAGTCAAGTCACTGTTATTTGTTACCGTAACACGACTAGAGCAGTCACGTCTTGCCACAGTTCCAGTAAAATCGTAGGTTGGCCTACTTCTAGTTAAAACCAACCCGGAGGTGACTGGATATTGAAAAATCGGCCTACAAGCACGAAAAAATGTAGCAACCCTAGCACAAAAATTGCAGCAACCCTGACGCAAAGTCAAAAAATTTGACATGTCAAA